ACTGAAATCTGAATATGTGTAGCCATATACTTCTGCATCTGTGTTAGTCTTTGACTGCCTCGACATCAGCATACCATAATTAATTGTACCTTTTATGTATCTTAACACCCTGTTAACTGCAATGAGATGACATTCTTGGGGTTTATCTATGAATCTACTTTAAAATCTGACACTTTGGTGAATGTTTGGCCTGGTATTGCAAAGATAACTCAAGGATCCAATGATTTATTTGTGCAATGTTGCACTTACAAGCTCATCATTTGTCTCATTCCTCAACTTTGCTCCAGTTTCTAATGGTGCGGCAGCTGCATTATGTTTTCTCATCTTTAACATCTTCAAGATATCTTGGCCATACTTCTTTTGGTGCAGGAACACACCTTCACACGTGTCTTTGAACTCCATCCATAGGAAATATGACAAATTCCTAGGTCGGACATTTCAAACTCTTGCATCAACTCCGACTTGACTTTTCTTATCTTGATTTCATCTGCACCTGTAATCAACAAATTATCTACATACATGCATATGGTGATTCAACTGACCTTGTCTGCATCATTGACATACACTCCATGTTCAGAGACACACTTTATGAAACCTACTTCGATCATCAAGCTGTCTATTATCTTATTACAAGCTCTTGAAGCTTGCTTCAAACCATAGAGAGCTTTCCTCAATATGTACACCTTTAGCTCATGCCCTTTGATTTAAAATTCTGGTGGTTGACTTACATAAACTTCTTCTTCTAGAGGTTCATTTAGAAATCTTGATTTTACATCCAACTGATGTATATTCCACCCTATGTATGTTGCTGTAGACACAACACTTCTGACTATCTCCAGCCTCACAACAAGTGCATAGAATTATTCGAAATCATTACCAGGTTTTTTTTATAGAAAACCTCTCGCCACTAGTCTTGCGTTATGCTTGGAAATTTCTCCATTCGACTTTTGTCTCAGCTTGTAAACCCATTTCACATTAATTGGCTTATTGACTAACTTTTCGACAAGCTCCCAGGTCTCATTCTTCTCGATTGACCCAAGTTTTTCTTTCATGACTGCTAACCAATTCGAGTCATTCATGGTTGGATCCAAATTGATTGGTTCTGCTTCAGCTATTATCATCGCTTCTTCTATTAAGTCACCATCTGCATCGATTCCATGATCTGGAAATCTTTCATATCCAGATAGCCTTGTCGACTCAGTTCTTGTTCTAGCTAATCTTATAATATTTCACTCAGGTGGTTCTTCATTTAGATTTGTTGGGATTTCAGTTTGTTGGTCTTCTTCAAACACTTTTGTGACTGTATCTGAATCCTATCGAACTGACCCTTGACTCCAATCCCACCATTTTCTTTCATCCACTAAAACATATCTACAATCACTAATTTATCATCATTTGGTGAATACAACTTGTATGCACCAGACAAATGATAACCTATGAGCAACATAGTCTGACTTCGATCGTCTAGTTTCCTCCTCAATTGTTTCGATACATGCATGCGTGAAGCACATTGATCCAAACACTCTAAGATAGAACACACTAAACTTAAAATTGAAAATTAGGATTGAGTAAAGTTCTTTACATCATATCAAGCCCTTCATATAGGCAATCCGAACCCAAAACATAAAAACGTAAATACAAAATTATAAGTTACATTTCGACACTACTATATGCTGTATTCGACTCTGTCAAATACAACTGACTCCTAACTTTGACTAACTACTTCGATACAGTCGAATGCTAGCTTTTAATCAGAACATCGAATTACAACTTTTAACAATTAGAATAAAATAATTTTTATAATTCTCATGATTTTATTCACACAAAAAGAAGGTGAGAGACTATTCGTTCCTAAGAAATTTCATTTTTTTAATAAATAATAATATAATATAACTATCCATTTTGCATAAAACATCATATAATATGCCAAATACTTTTTTAAAAAATAATCAGAAATTAAATTTTCATATTTTATTTTCAAATAACTTATTCATGAGAATCATTTATAATCATTGAAGCAAATCCCCGTCAAAGTATATACACATCTTATATAGTACAATTTAATGTTTTAAAAATTAGATTAGAGGTCGAAACTATGAGATCTTTCATTTAATATTTAATTGATTCAATTAGTTAAATTTATATTCGAAAATTTATTAGATAAATAGTAAATAAATTATTAATATAAAGGTAAACTTTATATATAAGTCATACACAATTATAAATTCACTCATTTGATAAATTAATATTTTAAAAACCATTAGTACACGTCATAGAGAAACAAAATGAACAATATGATGGTGATGAAGCATGATTGAAATGAAAATTATAACGTCGTGATGTGTGGTTGTGACCGTAAAAAAAGTTTGTTTAATGAAGAAGTTTTGATGCGGTCATATGAAATCCTTCAATTTGTGTTAGTTAATTACATACATTTCTTTGGAATAATAGTTTCATAAAATCGACTCCCTCTTCTTCTTTGATTCAAACAATTTTAAATAATTTAACCTGATTTTTTTAATTTTAATCTAATTTGAGTCCAGAACGATTATACAAGACTGATCAAACTAAGTTCTACTCTGATTTTTATCCAAATTTTAAAACATTCATATAATTAAAAAAATCATGTGTTAATTCAGATATATAGATCATATTAGTGACCACAAAAATGTAATATTATTGTAATTCCAGTCATTGATCTTGAAACTTCTAAACAAGCTTATTAGAGATACCTTCCTTATCTCATCCAAAGTCTTTTTTGATAAGCATATGAAGGGAGTATATAATAAACAAAAATATTTAAAAAAATTATTACACGCATAAACATGTTATAACAAAAAACACACACAACATAAAGGTTCAACACTTTTCATAATCTTCACAAGAAATACTGACACAAAAGAGCTGACGGTGGTAACGACGGCAACAAACGAACAATGGAAGAGAAGAGAAACTCTAGAAAACTTGGGAGGATTCTTGAACTTGAATGCGGCGAGCGTACCAAATGAATCAATCTCCTTCTACTTATATCCTTTAGCATGAGAGACGAATCGTCGCCTAGTCACTCAAACACCTTAACCATAGGCCGTCAGAGACATTTATTTATGACACGTGGCTCAAAAAGACGTCACACTTGTCCTTTCAAACCCCATCACGCATCTCGAGGAAATGACGTGTCTGTTCCTTCCACTTCCACAATGCGTCGAGCACAATGCTCGACTTCCACATTGTACCACGAACACTAACGCAGGGAAACGTCTGGAACAGGCTATGTTGTCGAACACAGTTTACGACTCTGATCCCCTCTCGAGCACATGGCCTCAAGGTGAACGCGAAATTGGACCCCGTCGTCGAACACGCGCAAACCTCGCGAGCAGCACCCTAGAGAAAATCTTCATACGTTCGCGTTGTCGGGCACGATGTCTAACTTCTACATTCCATCGCGAGCATAGCTTCACGAGCTCACCACTTCGAACCTAGAAGACACTACCTCGGGCAAGTTTCTTTTATCCCTCTTCGACACGCGAACTGACCCTTAAGTCATTACTTCCTCGACTAGAAGCAACGACTCGGGGGACTCCTGTTCTGGACTGGGCCTGCCCACCGTCGGCACGACCCAATCCAGCTCCACGTCGGGGAGAGCCCAACACAAAGGCCTAATCCGCCATCACTGCAGGAGGAAACGTTCCTCATGCGTCCTCCCTACTTTCTCCACGTGCTCCCCACGCGGGAACACATCATCAACCAACTACCCACGTCCGAGAGAACAGGTCCTTCACTCCCCGGAGTTCGTGAGGCAATTGACCCAGGTTGAAAATCACATGCGAGTCTTCCCTACTGCCACGTAGAATCCTGACAGTCATCTGTTGTGGGCCTTGCGATCCAGTCCAAAGCAGATGACCGTTGGCCCAACGTTGGGGACACATTATAAATACTCTCCTCCACAAGAGGGTCAGATATTCTAACTTATACTCACTTTCTTTATTTGCTTTCTTTTTCACTTCCTTTCTCACTTTGCCATCAGAGTGTCTTGCAGGTACACCCCATCCTCTTCTCCACTACCAGTGAACTTAGAACTTACGACGTGATACTGACCGTTGATCCTCTTTCTGATCCGGTAAAATAAAAAATCTAATATTCTATAATAATATTATTATATTTTTTAATTTGTATGGAAAAATTTAAACTCAAAACGGAGGAAGTATTTTAAAAATCATTAGTACACATGGTAGAACAACAAAATGAACAATATGATGGTGATGAAGAGTGATTGAAAGGAAAAAATTATTTCAATTATTTTGACTAATTACATATATTTATTTATTTAGAATGTCAGTTTCATAAAATCGACTATGTCTCTTCTTTGATTCAAATAATTTTAAATAATTTAACTTGATTTTTTTTATTTTAATTCAATTTGAGTCCATAACGATTATACAAGACTAAACAAACTAAATTCTACACTGATTCTTATCTAAATTTTAAAACATTCATATAATTAAAAAAATCATGTGTTAATTCAGATATATAGATCATATTAGTGACCACAAAAATGCAACATTATTGTAATTCCAATAATTGATCTTGAAACTTCTAAACAAGCTTAGAGATACCTTCCTTGTCTCATCCAAAGTCTTTTTTGATAAGCATATGAAGGGACTATATAATAAACAAAAATATTAAAAATTACAATACACCTTTTGTGAAAGGGAAAATCTTAACAGAACATTTAGTTGGGGAACTAAAGCGTAGACTTTTTGTCCTGTTTTTTTCAGATCCACCAAATCCAACCTCCTCAAAAAGCAAGAAACACGCATAAACATGTTGTAACAAAAGACACACACAACACAAAGGTTCAACACTTTTCATAATCTTCACAAAAAAAACACTGACACAAAACTTTATCACAAACTTTTTTCTATCCATTTTTGAACTTCGAAGGTTTCTTTTTCAATTCTCTGGTACAAAAGTCAAACCAAGTTGGATGTTCAACGGTGGAAATGGACCGATTACCGTGGAAGGAAGAAGAAGCGGCGGTTGGCGGTGGAGAAAGTGGACCGCCGCAAAGACCGAATTTAACTCTCCCGCCACGTACGGACGCCCTTTTCAGCGGCGGTTTTAGCCCCGGTCCTATGACTTTGCTCTCTAATTTATTGACTGACGGTGATGACGGCAAGTCCTTCTCTCAGCTTCTCTCCGGTGCCATGGTGTCTCCGGTCGCCACCGCTGGCGCGCTTGATTCACCTGGCTTCTTTTCACATCCTCAGGTGAATAAAATAATAATGGTTATTAAAGTTTAATCCTTCCATTAGATAACAACTTTTACTGCAAAGTTCAACTGCACAATACGTCACTGACACGTTTGATATCGATAATAATTAACATGATTATATAGATGTTAGATACTACTTCAAAGATAATGAGTATTTAAAGATTGCAGAAAGCATAGTTAGGAAATGAATCTGACTGTTGAATTTGGCATACAATCTCCATATGATGTAGGTGTCCTTTGGATTGTCACAGGCACAGGCACAAGTTTCATTTCAAGGAGCACAACCCAACATAAATATGTATAACCAAGCTGAACATTCATCGTCTGTATCAGCATCCACCGCATTCACCAATCACGGTCCTCCTTCTGGACAAAGGTTGCAGTCTTCTTCGCTGAATGTTGATAAGCCTGCTGATGACGGTTACAATTGGAGGAAGTATGGACAGAAACAGGTGAAAGGTAGCGAGTTTCCTCGAAGTTACTATAAGTGCACACATCCTAACTGTCCTGTCAAGAAAAAGGTTGAGCGGTCGCTTGAAGGTCATGTAACTGCGATTATTTATAAAGGAGAGCACAATCATCAACGTCCCAATCCTAACAAGCGATCGAAAGATGCCAATGACAATTCAAATATGCAAGGGAATGCTGATTCGTCTTATCAACGGACGAGTACAAACTCAATGTCTATGATGGATCCAGAATCCAGTCAGGCAACAGGTGAACATATATCTGGAATGAGCGATAGTGAGGAAGTAGGTGATCGTGAAACTGAAGTGGAAGAGAAAAGAGTTGAGCCTGATTCCAAAAGGAGGTAAATTTTTGTAGAAAATATTTCTGGTATATTTCAAAGTTGTTAATAGGATACAAAGCCTAATTTGATTAACTATGTTTATACTCGATAATCATTTGCCTCTATGTTATCTTGTTATTGTTGTAATTATGTAGAAATACAGAAGTCGCGGTCTCAGACCCAATAGTTTCTTCACATAGAACTGTCACCGAGCCTAGAATCATCGTGCAAACGACTAGTGAAGTTGATCTCTTAGATGATGGTTATAGATGGCGAAAATATGGACAGAAAGTTGTCAAAGGGAACCCTTATCCTAGGTGATATTGATTCTCCTCCACATATTTATTTTACCTATTGAACTGATAAAATATCGAAACCGTCAACATTTTTTATGGTCATGGAAAAATTACTGATTGAGTTATATAATGTTTAGGAGCTATTACAAATGTACAACACCAGGTTGCAACGTTCGCAAGCATGTAGAGAGGGCTTCGACAGATCGTAAAGCAGTCATAACAACATATGAAGGAAAACATAATCATGATGTTCCAGCAGCTAAGACCTATAGCCATACTTTTGCCAACAAAAATGCTTCACAGTTAAAATCACAAAGTACCATTTCTGAGCAGCCTAGTTTCGGCAACATTGGTAGTGTTGGTAGCAATGAGCAACAGCCTGTTGCGTGTCTAAGGCTGAAGGAAGAGCGTATAACTTAAGCGCCTAGATTAAGGCTTGAAGAACTAGTAATCGGATAACTTATATCACAAGCAATGTTTATTTAGATGCTTTAATGGATTTGTTTTCAGTCATAGGCCAAAGTTTTGATCAAATCCTCATGAAAGAGTTAAAGGAGAACAAGTTTAAACCAAAAAAAAATAGGTTGGTAGAGAGAACAGGAGTTTTGGATGATGCTGTACAATTTGTGCCCTTGTGTGTACAGTAGAAGTTTTTTTTCTTTCTTTCTTTATATCATAAAATATAAGTTATGTTGTGTAACAGTTATTCATAATTTTATCATATAATTCCTTGCTCAGTGATATTTTTCTAAGGATGTAACAATTTTGGATCATTTAATAGCTGCTTCCTAAATCCAATATGATAATCAAGGTAGGTTCCGTAATGAAAGATTTATTTTCTGACATGATGAAATTGCAATTGTTCTTGTTTCAAAATATATATATATATATATATATATATATATATATATATATATATATATATATATATATATATATATATATATATATATATATATATATATATATATATATATATATATATATATATATATATATATATATATATATATATATATATAAATTAAGTAGCCAATGAACTTTAATAAATACGAAGAGTTTCTCGTGATAAAAGGCCTAAAAATGAGATGCCAAGGTTATAAGGTCCTACGAGATATTTGAAGGATTCAAGTTTGTCAAGGTTATATAAACTTAGAATCTTAATCCTGCTCCATGTTGAAAAAGAATTACAAGTGTGAGTAGTGTGGAAAATAGTCTCACATTGAATAGAAATATGGTGATTTGAGCATATATAAGTGAGATAACCCACTCACATATCACCTTAAAGTTTTGGGTGAATATGCGGTGTGTCTCTCACAAATGTGTGTTGCTTTAAGAAGGATGTCTCACCGTTTAGAATGTTCCTCGCTCGACCCCCTCGACTGTTGCGCTAACACCCCAGCTCAGATAGGTGCTCAATGTAAAAGGTACGTCGGTCTAGAAAGGTGCTCAGGTAAGTCGGTCTAGAGAGGTGCTCGACCTATAAAGTGCGCCTAACATGTAAAAGTGCTCGACCTATAAAATATGCTCAGCTCAGAAGGTAATCGGTTAGAAAGTGTGCAAAATCTAAAAGGTGTTCGACCTAAAAGGTAGGTTAGTCCAATGTGCGCAACTCAGAAGGTGCTTGGTTCATAAAGTGTTTTCAATCTAGAACGTGCTCAATCTAGAAAGTGTGCCCATCCTAAAAGGTAATCAACCCAAAAAATGTGCATAGTTAATAAGGTACTCAATCCTTTTAGGTGTTTAGTCTAAAAGGTAAGCAGGTCTAGAAAGTGTGTCTTCCAGAATGTTTACTCAACCCATAAAGTTAATTCAACCCAAAAGGGTTATAAACTCATAAGTAGGTTAGCTTAATCAACACTACCGTTAAGCTATTGTCCGAATGTCCATTGTCTTTGATTGTAAATATAAGTTTCATATATTAGAATACTAAGTATGTGGGTTAATGAAGATAAACTTAGTTGGTAAGGAATTGATTCATTCGAAAGATCGTAAGTTTAACTTTTGTTGTCAATATGAGGACTTTTTAGTAGATAGTAGATATGAGGACTTTTTGAATGAACTTTATTAGGTCCTTAGTTTATTCTTTATTTTCAAAACAGTTCTGAATTGTTTCAGTTAGAGTTTATATTCAAACATCCGTATTCAAAGCACAAATGTATTTTTCTCAAATGTTTTTGCACAAATATGTCCTAGGATTTTTTCGAGTTTAATCTTATAAGTGAACGAAAACTTGTGATTTGATTTATAAAAGTAAACGGTAAACAATAACTTACTAATAATTAGTAAACTAGTTGGAAAATGTAGGGGAAAAATGACAGTTTTGGAGCAACTTACAAAATGATATTTTTGGATAAGTGAGGGGGTAATTGTGTAATTTTTCAATGTTGTGTATTTTATCAAAATTCATTTTCACTACTTCACTCCACTTTTGTTCAAAAATCAACCCTTGAAGACTAAAGGTAGAGAAATAAACCTGAAAGTGAGAAGAAGAAGAGAAAGGCCCTTGCATGCTTACAAACCCTTGGTGTGGTTCATCCGATATACTAAAATCTTTCCTCTAATCGGGATCCAGGTTCTATTTACTCAAAGGTGGGGTTTAATAGTTTAATTTCATAACTCATTTTAGCGATTGCTATGACTTTTGGTATTTTGGGGTTTTTACGAGAATCCATAAAATTGAATGTGATTGTGCGTTATTGACATGTTTGTTGTTGTTTTGATGTCTTAAAATCCTTGCATGTTGTTTTTGTTTTCCTAATTTTTGTGCATTCTAGAATGAGTATGTTAAGCATGTAGCAGAGTGTCAAAAACAATGTTTGGGACTGGTTATGTTGTTGTTACCGTAGAAAACACGTCCAAAACGAGCTAACAATCATCACCACTGTAATTAGGGATGTCAATTTGCATTTGTTAACGATGATCTTCGTGGGAATTATCTATTTGGATTTTTGAAGTTGGAGATTTTTTTCTTGTAGGGATGGGGATGGAGGGAAAAGTTCCCCCGATTACACTTCAAGGCGGGGGTCGAAAAAGTACCCTCCGCCCGCGGATTCCTCGACTCCGACCATATCATTTAAGTTTTATATATAATATATAATTATATAATTTTGCATTTTTTTTTATAAAAAAATTAATATATTAGAAAATAAAGAGTCATTAGTGGATCATTTTTTTGTTTCATTTTTATAATGTATTCTTTCGCTACTCAAGTACCTAACCCTATAAAAGTGCATCCATTACATATTGTATCCTCTTATTATTTTCTTAATTCTCTTTGTCTCTTCCATTCCTCATCTCCTTTAGCCTCATCTTTATTATCATCATCATCATCACAACAACCACTTTCTTTTGTTCATTGTGATTATGGTAATTACTTTTCAACTTCACTATACTTTAATTAGTAACTTATTTTTTTATTCAATCAGTAAATTAGTGATTATGTTTTCGTAACTGCAAGTGCTTTTGCATTTTTTTTGTTATTGATGCAAGATGTATTTTTATGTTTTAAAAAATAAATATGAAAAATATATGCTTTCAAAAAATAAATAATAATAACAACGAAATACTAATGTCATAGTTTTAATCGAAAAGGATAAAAGAAATTTAAGATTCAATCTCCGTGGATATTTAATTCTCTATGGGAATCTGTGGGGATGGGGATGGAGAATAATATTCCCCTGTGGCAAGGATTGGAGACGGGGATGAGGAATACATTAGGGGGTGGGGCGGGAACGAGGAAGCATCCTCCGCACATTCCCTGCCCCGTTGACATCCCTAACTGTAACTCAATGACCATCATGCCCCAGGAAAGATTGTGACCGCCATCATTGTGATATGTTAAACTTCATGCCCCAAGCCCAATGACAGGTGTTATGAGGGATGACGTCTGTCACCTTGGAAAGTGTGTGACACATTTCTTGGTGTCGCCTAATGAATACCGTTATGGCCATGACGACCAGACCGTCATCAGGCCCAGAACGCGTGCAATTTCTTTTTCTTGAAGGGGTCGAGTATGTTCTCACTAGTGTGATGTGAAATAACGCATTGGATGTTGTCTAATATGCAGACATTCGTAAATGATAAATAAATGAGTGAGAATCTAACTATTCGGCAAGTACACAATTTGTATTTACTTTAGGGGTTATGATTCGCCCATTAAAGAGTTGTCATAAATGGGTATGCGCAGTGATTGATTAACCCCGAACAATTGTAGAATCTTCGTGACCTGAAGTTCCAACTATTGTGTTAGATATAAGTTTAGAGATTACGAAAAGTCGCGATCGGGTAAGGTGAGGCACTATGATTAGAGACTGTGATGGTTGACATAACCCATGTTAGAGGTTCCGCTTGGGGAAAGAGGATCCATTGAGAATGGGCATTTGTGACCCTTGACGTAACCCATGTGAGAGGTGTCACTTGTGGAAAGATGATCTATTGAGAATGGACATCTGTGACCCTTGACGTAACCCGCGTGAGATGTGTTCTTGGGAAAATGTGATATATCAAAGATGGATACACGTGACCTTTGACGTATCTTTGTAAGAGGTTCCGTTTGGGGAAAGTATTTTGGTCCGTGTAGGTAGCCAATAATTCATGTGTTATAACTCCCAAGCTACGGTGGATTAGCTGAATCCAATGTTGGACGCGCACATGATGCAAGATCTTTGAATCTCTGGTTATGCATGTGGCGTAACATGCATTGCAATTAGGAGGCTAGTGGCCTTGCTTAGAATAAATAGTGAAATCTTAGAGCCTAGTAGTCCCCTAAGATAGGTGAACCTCACTGAGATTTAATATATTACACCATTATGATTATTTTTCAGGTGGTTCTCAGTAGAAGAAAGGTAAAGGAAAAATGCAATGAAGTCTTAGAGCTATAACTTATTTTCCTTATGATTTCGTTGTTTTGTTTTCAGATCATGTATTTGTACTATATTTTTATCTAGTTGCACCGACATTATGATGTTTCATGTACTGTTTATGAGATATTTTGTATGATACATGTACTCTAATGCAAAATCAAACCAACAAACAATCACCATCACTGGGGCTGGAAATGAGTCAAGTCGAGTCGAACTCGCCTTAACTCGGCTTGACTCATTAAGAATTAGTTCATCTCAAATCTCGATTCGAGTTCGACACTAACTTTTTTAAGCTCAAACTCGACTCGTTATAATTTCACGAACAACTTGGTTCAACTCGTCATGTTTATTTCGTTAGGTTCAGCTCACTTGGTTCACGAACTTAAAAGCGATTTTTTCAAGTCTATTTTTTATATATATATATTTGACATTTTAAATTAATTTTTTTTAAAAAAGAAGATATTGAAATGAAATAAAAGTTATCATATTAGAATTTAACTTTGTCTCAAAAATCTAGTAATTCAAAAACTACACAACTTTCAAGAGATAAATATG